TAAGTAGACTGCACACATAGTCCTAATATACTGTAATAATGTATAGCGTATAGCATTGATTAGGCAGGCCTAGGTTGCCATGTATTATAGTATACATCTTAATATAATACAACATGAAATATTGATGGTACACAGTATTGAATCATGACAATCTAGGGTTTATTATCACTTTGTGACATTAGTAATCATACGGGTGTATTGCACATACATGCACAAAGGCCCACGGTAAAATTGAGTTGTGCAAATAAACTACAGAAACTTGGCACAACTTCCCAATGAACAAACTCTTCTCTGAAGAAACCATAACTTTTCAATATTTACAACATACAGTACTATTGCCTATTTATTGTTGTTTTGGATAAGTCTGTTGAGGTATATTTCATGCACTAAGTAATAAGAAATCATCAATAAATTCTGAACAAGCAACATACAATTCTGTAAAATAAATACAATAACCCTGTTTTTAAAAATATCTTCCCTTTCTCGGGTGCCAATCAAATTTCACATCTGAAATATTAAACATGTTTAATATTCTACGACGTGACTGCCCGAGATGCAACCCATCGCGTCTGCGTTTAACTCGCACCGACATCGCGTCGAGCTGCATCGTGCGACGCTGTCTGAGTTGGCCTTTAGACATTCTACAGTATACTGCCCTGATTTTGTATGCATGCAATGAACGTTAAAATACTGTAGAAATTAATTCAGCTATAACTTCCACAATTATATGGTACAGTATATTATCATACAATAAAAGCCATCGTTTGCTTTTTTTTACAAATTGAATCTTAAGTTGTAAAATTAAAAAGAGCCTCTTCACATATCTGCATATCAAGAAATACTAACATTAAATTTTAATAACATATCATTTGTGTCATAAAAGCTTAAAAATTAATTTTATTCACAACTAAAATTACTTTATTTCAGGATACACTGTCTTGTGCTAAATTATAAAGCAAAACTTTTAAAATTCAATTAAAACACTGACTTGGTTTGTTTTTGTTTGTATTTTTAAAGAATACAATAAGTTATGAACTTCCTTTGAGAGGCAGGTAAAAACAAATTCATTTTTGATTTTACTACCAAAAAAAAAACTTACTAGCCAATTTTTGGATCTATGCAAAAAAAATATTTTGGTTTGCTCACTCTTTATTGCATGCCATACCTAATTTAATTGGCGTCCCATACTCAATTTCTTTTTTGAATCCGTCTCTAATGCTCTTTGATCTAAATTAACTTGCTCATTGGTGGCGCTGTCCAGAATCAGAAAAAATAATAAGGGGCCTAAGTCTATGTGTAAGGGAACAATTTCTCTTTCTACTTAAATACACATAGTATGCAATTAATTCAAATTAATTAATATGAATTATTGCATTCAAATAAGCTTAAACAAGGCAGTATATAACCTAACTTAACCCTGTATATGATGCATAATTATGCAAATAATAATAATACACATCATTACTGTATATTAAATATTTTCACATATATCAGCTGTGCGACATGAACAAGCAATTTTGCTTAATGCTTTTCTGACAGATACGTAAAACATGCATTTTTACATTAGTTTGTTGCCAGCACAGAATTAACTACCTTCGGCAAGATAATTGTTACTAGAAAAAAAATGCAAAAAACTTCTGTGTAATGGCACGACAACACTTTGGTTGAAATATTTGTGGTGCATTCATTTAACATCTTTTTTATCAACATATAATTTGGTCTATGGTTGTCATTTTGGATATTTTTCCTAACTACTTTCGTAAAAATATATTTTAACTGATATTTAGTCTGAGATACAGCACCCTCTATAGTTTGTTTTGTGCCATATACGATTGAATTACAAGTTTATTTACTTATATTATGAACTAAATAACTACAAAGAGCTTATGTTGGTCTTTAAATAAAGATTATTATAAAAATCAGCCAATATTGCATATTCCCACAAAACAATACTAACAAGGTATATAATGGTACAAAATATATAACAAAATAACATATATAAATTATATAGAAAATATCAATGCTACATCCATATATCAGCACATAAATATTTAAAATAAAATACCTTATAAGCTTTGAACAGATATTTTATTTTAAATATTGTACTCAAGTTCTACAATCAATCAATCAAATGATTTAATATTTAGCAGCAAACCTGCTAAACTGACCAAGCAACAAATATAACAAAATATCAGTTTATATAAATAATAAAGAACATAGTCAGAGGTGGCACCAGCAGGATGGCATGGCTTGGACCCCCCATTAGACAGCCTTGGACCCCCATCGTCCGTCACCACAATGAAGTCGTCGGGCCAAAAATAACTGCCTATCCAAATAATGTAATGAGATTGCCTATTCCTAATATTATGGTCTCAAAACACAATTTGGAAAATACTAAGCCATAAAAACTCTCCCCAACAACTTATATTATATTATATTCTAAAACCCTGACTCTTAGTCTGCCTCTTGGTTCAGCATCCCTCCCCTGGCAAATTTCTGGAGCCACCACTGAATACAATTTACACCGTTACATAACATTTATAATACTCGGTAGTCTTAAAATAATCTTAAAAAAACTGGTTATTTTTTAAAATCTGTGTAGAACACTTAAGGATGCATTTAGTTATTACAAGAATTAACTTTATTACAAGAAATTATAATTTGGATTATAATTTTGCAATTTTTTTTTTAAAACACTTTTGTAATAGTTCACTGTTTTATCAACTGCACTAATATGCCTGAAAATTTATACCATTCTAAAGGTATTTAAAAATATATATATATTTGCAACTTGGTATCCGGATTTATGGAAACAGGTCAAGTACTTTATACGATTTCTTAATAACAATATTAATAATACAGCTCCTTTTATACAGCGCTTTATGCCTCTAGGTGATTTAGATGTACTATATGTCGATTGTCACACTCAGTACTCATAATGAACTATATATACATTAATATTTACTGCACAATTATTTCTTACGCACACAACTATATATTTTACATAACATCTAATAGAGAACAACAAAACCAATATGAAATAATGATAAAATATAGCATTATAAATAAATATTAATACTGATAACATAGATGTTTCTTTTTTTTTGTACTGAATGAGTTTTGTATTTCTTTTGGATTGCTGGTGTTTAAAATTATGTTGTATTCATAGCCTCCAAATTACTGGTACTAGACTAGCATTATAACACTAGACATGGCACATCACTGCAGGCTTGGCAAGTTTTCAGTGTTGGGTGGGTACGGAAGGGGAGCCAGAGGGGTAGATTATCTTTTCTGATGGTGAAAATAAAGATGCTAATGTTGATGAAAAAGTATTTGTGAGGATAAATAAATAATTATGATGATGATGTTGTTAATGAAGACAATGATTATAAAGATAGTTGTTAGAATGTTATTAGGTTTGGTGTTCAAAGCCTTAATACATGGTAGCTAACACGTTGCATACAAGGCAACATAAAGTCAACCAGAACAACAAACTGTGAAACACTGAAAAAATATATTGTGATAATGATATGCACCTTATATCCTATTTGCAGGAAATGATCACTTATATACACGAACTGATCATTTTAATGCAATAAAACCTCTTTTGTCTTTGATTGAAAGTTACTGACGTGTCGCATGTCGGTATTTATAGCGCACTCTGCATGTTGGTTTGTCTAGCATCATGAACTGACGACGTTGTGTGGCTGTTTGGTTGTGTCGTAAGCCCGAATAACCTCCGACTAATAAAGATAAAGATAAACATTTAAAAAAATCATGTCAATGCTATTATAATCAGTGAGTTAAAATACATAATACTCGGTACACACAGTTCGTGCAGAACTCGGCTTTAAAAAAAACCCAATAACCTCAGACGTAACACCTAAGGTATTATGCAAATGATGAGTTTCTATCAAGTTGCCCTGGACCCTTGCATCACCCAGCTACGTCACCCCACGCTTTAAGAAATGGACTTTGGCATTGGTCCACTGCATAATGTTGTCTCAAAATCAAGTACTGAAATTACCGAAGAAGCTACAACAATAATATAGCATACATAGCAAACTCCCAATAAATCGCAGATGTGCATTTTGGGCGTAGGCCTATAAACCATGAAACTTTCATTCGTTTGACAATTGTAGTTTAAAAACAGAAAATTACTACCACTGTTAAACGAATAAGCAGTGGTGCCATGATCATGTATGCATGTGACAGACATGTAATAAGGTAACAAATCTGGATTCTAGGCTGGCCCTCAGTTGAAATATTTTATTTTACTGAGCTTTTCAGTTTTGTTTTTGGAAATAAACTGTAAAAGAAGCAGGGACCATGATTTATGCCGTGTATTGAAACAATCAAAGGGGATTAAGTAATAAAAAAAAGCTCCATGCTGCTGCTAACCCATTCTGCGTTTGCTCCACCAAAAACACTGAAATTTGCAGAGTTGGATTATCAGCGGATATCAGCAGGTGGTCCGCGTTTAACACCCGTTCGGGTTAGAACTGGAAATGGCCGTTTCCGGATTTATCCCATGTTGAACTCCAAAAAAAAAAATAGCCTGAACGCACCCAGTCAGTTCCCAGCTTAAGACAGCATCAATGGCAGATGCAAAAAGCTATGTATTTTAGATTTTTCCACAAAAGCTTTACTGTGGGTATCATAAGTTTGTTTCCACATTCCATAAATGTGTTCAAAAGTTGACTGCCAATTTTTTCTAGTTAAATCCCATACACCAAGGCATAAAGGGCACCACCATAATCAAAATCGATACCATCAACTGCGGTGAAACACAAAGAAACATACGGTAGTTAATTTTTAGATAATTATTTCCTCCAGGGCGAGAATTGTGTTCTGGCGACCACTGCCAATGAGTTTACATGCAATACAATAGGTAAGTTGGATAGGTGTGGACTATTGTCCTCTGTGCCGAGTGAATCCCACGTCCCTGGCCGCAGGCGTGTTAAGATTATATTCAGAGTAAATAGTATAGTTACTCTAATATCAAGGTTAAATTGAGAATTCATTGACGTGAACACCCAAAGTGTGGGTCAAAGTGACATAGCCCTAGTGATAGAGAGTGAGTACAAAACACCCCGACAGCTGCCTACAAAAACTTCATTATAAAATCACACTGTAATTTCCAAATTTTTGGATGAATAAAGTGATGTCTATGTCATGACATTGGTTCTTTATACCCAAAACATGTTCTCAATTTCCACACATTTATAACCTATTTCCAAAATTGGATGATATAAATGCAATATATGTTAACAGGCCTGCTTATGAAAACCACCCCTTTAAATATGTTTTTAGTCAGACACATATCATATCAGAGGTCATGTTTAATGACCCTCTCAAGTTTACTTCAAACAGTAATTAAAATATATGCATGCTGTGAATCTCACCTGTGTTATTACTCCATGTTCCTCTTGTGAAAATGCATAACCATCTAAAGGCAAGAAAACAATACGTAAACTATATGTAAAACATAGTTTCCCATTATTATAATACACAAGTTAGTACACGAACAAATGCTTGCTTTATCACTGTTTTTAATCTATGTCATAATTATTAACATGAACAGTTTAAATTTATTCAACTCACGAGCTGTGGGTTCATGCTCCTCGGCTCCTCCACCTCCTACAGGCTTCTTGCGTTTTATAAGTCTTCCCAACAGACGAGAAGTTTCGTTCAACCTGTACAAAAAACACTGTATTATTACATTGCATAGTTACACACTTAATTTTATTTCATTTTCATTCAACAGCAACGACTGAAATTTAGGATGGAAGTCTTTTTTAAGCTCTGGCCAGACTATTAGTTGAAAAAACATGTGACATGCCTAAATATGGTGAGGATGACATCACATCATGACCATATATAGGCACATCATGACTATACATGACATACAACAGTTTTTTTCACAGACAGAGAATTAAGGTACAATTCTTATATAAATTAATGCAATATTAATTTTTAGTATAAATTTTCCTTCAATTATAGCCAATAATGCAATCTTACAATAAGGTTAAGCGGAATCAAAATAATTAAAATTGAATAGTTAATAATGACACAATATTATATAACCTAAGCCATATCAACATACTACAAATAATCAAACATTATTAACAAAAACATTTAAATTAGCATTTGCTTAATACTTCACATAAACAATATTGGCAATAATCAGGGGCG